GGGGGTCAAAGTTGGTCCCGAGCTAGGACGTGGGTTGGAGTGGAATGTGCGCGTGGATCTCGGTGATGCCGACCTAGTGCGATGCCTCCTAGATGGTCTTGGCGTGCTGAATCTTCTGGGTGATCTGGATCGTCTGGAACGGTTGCCTCGTCTGTGTGAGTCTGCATGCCATTGAGCATGTCGTTGATCGTGGCGATCACGTCTGTCTGCCATGGCGCGGGGGTCTGGGGATGCTGATATGTTCAGCTGTTAGTGAAGAAGCCTACGTGAGGCACGCAACGGCTGTGTCAGGCGCAAGAAACACTACACTTGCAGAAACAGCGTGTTCCGAAAATTGCATGCAGGATGTGAGGTGCATATGGCTGCAACTTCTCTCAACGGGTGCATGTGGCTGAGTTCGTTCCATCGTGAAACTGTCGTTGCTGGGACTTCATCACTTCACATACTTCCATTGATGTTGGCCTGCTTCTTGGTCAACGGTGGTGCGTCGTTGAAGTTCTAGTAGAGCTTGTCGTTGGTTGATGAAGTCCGTCCATTCCTCCTGAGTTGGCGTGGCCTGCGCTTGATTCTGCTTGATGTCTGGATCCTCTTGGAAGGCTGTAGGTGTTCCCGATACCGCCAGCCACGTGGTTTGATGTACATGTAGAGCTTGGTGACGTTGGATTTGGCCTGATATCTTCGGGTGGGTCCAAAAGACCGAGTGCGTCCTGGGGTGTCCGATGACTGCAAGGGGTAGAGACAGCCATCTGAACGAGGAACTGGATGCCGTAGTGGTTTGGAACCAGGCCCAGTCCAACTGTGTCTCCATCACGCTGCTGGCCGGGATTGCTAACATTGGCGTTTGTCCTCCTGGACTCAGTCGGTGAAATTTGCCAATCAAATCAGGCCGGCTTGTCCGCTTGGCGTCGAAACCGTCGATGGTGTGGCAAGGGTCCGCAAAGGTGAAGATGAGTGGGTCCCAAAGTCGATGTAGTACATGTGCTGCTTGGGTGGAGACTTGAACTGCGTGGATCTGTTGGGAGGTGAGGGGTAAGGCGAATCTCGGTGTCCATACCATGGTGGGCAGTGTGTCGCTGTGGAGGTGGTCGATGGTGAGTTTGGTGCGGATGTCGGGAGTGGAGGGTGGCGTCCATCTGGTCGTGTGGGTGAGCTTCTGAAGCGTGTCGGTCCATATGTTGGTTGACCAGTGGTCCGGAATCTGGAACGTGTTGGTTCCCTGAAGGCATTCTGTGTGGGAATCGATGCTGGGCCATGTTCTGTGGAGCTGTAGGTCATGGTGAGCCTTGCGGAAGACTATGTTGCTGACCGCCTGCATGGTCATGATGCCCGAGATGGTGTTGTACTTCGCAAGCATCGGCTGGTGGAAGGGTGGCGTAGTACTATGGAGCACCACGCAGAGGTCTTGTATGGGCGGAAGCAGGGGTACCAATCCTGCCGTGCTGGGTAGGACGTGTGCTGACCAGACTCTGTGGAAGTGAGTGCAGGTCTGCTCCAGCCTGCCCATAGTTCTGGGATCTGCGAAGTTGTGTGTGAACATCCAGAGTTCCGGGTTCACACTTCGGAATTTGATGTAGCCCCAGTGCCAGAGCTGATAGATGTTGGGCATTGTGGCCAAATCTGGGCAAGTGCCTTTGCGTACGAGCATCCTAAACTGTATGGCTGTGAACTGTAGGATGTGAACTGCAGCGGTTCCTGATAGAATTTCGTGTAGGAGGGCACGTAGTCGTAGGTGTAGGGGCTTGGGTTGGGGAATGTCGACGGAGTCGGCGTAGCGTGCCATCTGGACGTGGGTGGATGCGTCGTCCTTGTATTGGTCCCAGGTCATGAGGATGCTGTTTTGAAGTTCTTGTTGGAGTGAGGGGAACTTGTGCACCAGCTGCTTCGGGAGGAAGGTCATGCGGTTGGGGAAGAATCGAATGACGGGTGTACCGTCCTCTTGGAGTTCCCAATGGTGTGGTTCAACCGGAGGTAGCATGTGAACAAGTTCCGGTCGAATCGGTCGTCTCCACCACTGCGGCTGCACTTTCTCTATCTGATCCACTGGTAGAACTGGGCGTAGCCGGCCTTGGTCGTGATGTTGTGTGACGGATTGCGCGTCCACAGCTGGTTCAAGGCTGTCGAGCAGTTGTTGCAAGCTGCTGACGTGCATGCCCATCGTGTGGACACCAGGGTTTCGAAGTGGCGACCTGGATCTGTCTTCTCTGTGATGCCGTTCTTCGGGAGGAGGTACTGTGCGGTCGGGAGGTACGGGAATGTGTGGGAAGGCTCCAGTGTGCCAGGTTTGTAGGTCTCTGACAGGTTGGTCCGTGCCCGCATAATCCATGGACATGCCGGTGGCATGGTCCTGGGGTGGTGTTTGTCGATTCGGATACCATCTCTGGAATTG